TTAAAAATGTATTGCAAAATAAAATTTTAAATAATATTTATATCATGTATAATCATAGAATGCAAAGAATGAAAGAATTTGCTGTTAATTAAAAATTAATAATAGAAATTTATTTAAACATGAAAGTATATACACGGTAATAATAGGAGTATTACATGTATTATCTGAACTCAGAAATATTTCATCATTGCTATGTACATATTATAAAATATAAAATAGCAAAGTTGCTGATAAATTTTAATTCTTCTAATATTCAAGAAAATAATAGAAGGGATATTTTTACTAGTAACAACATAGTTTTCCTATTTAGGTTTTAATGAAACATACCGGTTTAGCAATGCACTAATACTATTAAAATAAAGCGCGTGGCAACCCTAAACGCTCTTGTATGTGTAAATAGTTAATAAAAGAGTGACAAAGTACTTGCCTGGAAGCGACTGATATAAAAAGTAATGCCCAATACACGCACGTTATGCAAATCTTCATTTTTTTACGGGCCTCACATTACAATTCACATTGAAAATTCTGCTGTCAGCAGATGAATACTTTTCTAAATGTACGACAATGTCATTGCTCTATCACCATACCATCATGGTTGCCGCCATCACTACCGCTTTTATCACTGCCACTACCTCCATCTCCAAAAGTAATTCTACCACCGCTGTCGCCACTAGTCACTGTACTACTCAAAATCTGATGTGTAATTAAGACATTGGTATTGACAAGGTTAGATTATTAATGACGTTATTAGGAGTATCCTTTAGCATATTGTAGAAGATATTTCTTTGTGTATAACTGTTCTTACGCAATAAATGATTTCGATGAAAGGAAAACACATTTTCTTTGGAACACACATTGTGTACTATAACGAAACAGCTGATTAAGTTGACGCATGCGCTCAGAACGTTTAAATAGTGTAATGATTTTTTATAATTTAATTGAATACTTTGAATTTTCATATTTGATGGTTGGTAAATATTATGTATTATTCTTTAAAATATTTTCATAATAATTCATAAATGATTTAGTCTTTAAGATTGTTTATTAATTTTACAAAACTGTATATCTTTTTTATTCATAGTAATGCTAATGTAATAAAAATATGAATAATATTATACAGAAATATGTAAATAGTAAGATTCAATATTTGTTTTGTTTTAATTATTTATTTTCTTATTTATAAATTGTTGAATTTTTTGAAGCCTGTGTTTGTGAACACATGTTATCGTTAAAACATTTAAGGTCACTATCTTGTTTAAAATTTCAATTTGAACTGTCAATATTAAAAGAAAATTCTTTAAAAACTCTTTCAATAGAACAACCGTTCTACTTTTCTTAAATTCTCAAGTATTTAGTTGATTTTTAATGGATTAGTACCTTTAATGACGTTACAACAAACCTTTTGACAATGACATACGTAAGTTCCTATGGTGTAATTATTATATATGCATTATTATATACATTAGCATATTGAATATGTTTATCTCAGTAAAACAACACGCATCATTATCTAATAAATATTAATTAAAGAATAATATTGATCAATACGTTAACACATCAATAATATTTTCATTGTTTTAAGCTGTTTTTCCTTAAAAAACTACACTTAAGTTTTCAACATTATTATTTATGTATAGGAAGTATGTAATGTAACATTAAAAATTCTAATAATATTATAAATACCGTTAATATAACTAGATAGAATAAGGTAAGTAATATAAGTGTCACTTAAAAGGCATAATTTTTTCATTTCTTGTTAAAAACAAATATAAAATCATTTATACTAGATTAATACACGCATAGTAGGATTATAATTAGTAATAAGATACTATATAATTTTGAAGAATAATTAGATTTATTGTCATAAAAATGTTTTTGATTTGTGGCATCGAATGGTTTGATGTATTTCCATTTATCTATAAACATTAGATAATTATTTACAAGTTTATATTATTCCAATTCATATGAATACTATTATTATCTCCATGTAAGAATATGGTTCTAGAAACCTCGCTATTAACTTAATAGATGTGATTGAAACTTAAGTCCAACAGGGAAATATGATTTGAAATATAATCTGATCATTGCATCTGATCATACTGTATCAGTATTCATATCAGTTATATTTCTTGTAAGGTGTGTTCATTAAATATAGATGGTCTAAATAATATCCTATAACAAAAACAACTTAAGGAAATAGTAACAGTATATTCATTTTAGCATTCAAATGCCATATTAATAATTTGAGAGGGAAAATATATTTTAATCATAGCTATTGTTTAAGATTGAAAGATGAAATTATATTAATGATTAGTATAAGATGCATAAGTGAAATAAGATTTATGATTCGACAAGTAGAATAATGATAATTACTGCCTACTTAAATAAATAATATAAATGAATAAATAATAATAAATGGAATACAAAGACTTAATATATTTATATAGATCTTGTTACTAGAATTAGCGCTCAAGTTTTAAATTGATTAATAAGTTTTATTTATTTGAGTACATATTAAATATCCCTTTTCTTATTTTAAATATATCTTTTTATACGCATTTTATTAATTTATAATAAAATTAACATGTTTATTATTTTATAGAGTATATTAATTGTGTGAATTGCACTTTCTTTTATTTCTTCATATTTTCGTACATATGATGATAAATCCGCAATATTTTGTCCAGGACTTTATTAATTTGCATGCTCCGATCCATACTTAAATACTTTGATATTTTTACAAAAGATTGTATCGGTGAAAAAAGTTTCGCGAATCTCATTTTAATTAAATTTTTTTTCATATTAAAGGCAACCTGGTAACATTTTATAATTCTCAAAAAATTGTATATCGTATTATTTGAATTTGCATTAATTGAGACCTACCTATACTGGTAATATTTTTATGAAAATATAACGAAAAGAATGAAAATATAAATTGTTATTAGCGTATGATTCATTCTGTGTCAGATCCGTCATTTATCAAACCACTTTTATCGATTGATCTCTGTCAGTCCTCTGTTAATCAGTTAATTTTGAAACTTTTACACAACTTTCAACATTGTTGATTAAATCAACAAATTTAAGATAGTCATTTCTGTTTTTAGATAGGTAGCATGTGCCTATTACCTCTTAAACAAATACAAACAAATTCGAGTCAAACCCATGGAATACGATCTGTCCTTTTTTATAATAGCTAAACAGATACGAAAACAATCGGTTTTTGAAACTTTCACAATGTATTGAGAATTTTTACACTATGTCAATGTAACACTAACCGTATCGACACTTTGCACATACTCATTCTTATTGTAACCAGTCAAATAACTGGTAACAAAAGAAAAAGGTAAACAAGTTAGATGATAAGTTTTTCTTACTGGAAACAAAATCAAAAGGAAAGAGAGAAACTGAATAACTGATTAATCGGACAATATAGGAATTGATATAAAATTAAATGAACGAAAGAAAACGCAGAATTATTGATCCAATTTTAAAACCGGTTCGCGGTACGGTTAATGTCAAAGTACGATTTATTGTAATTTATCGCAAGAAGTCGTTTGGATGGAACATCCATCTTTTAGTCTGAATTAACATTCCATAGAAGCACATTCCTTTTCTTCTTTATCTCAGAAACGGGAGTGCGAGAAAATTCGTGTGATGAATTCGTGGCACGATGAAGACAGACTGTGAGGATAATTTTCAGATCATAATTCCATTCAAGTTGGGATGATCCGCGACGGGGACGGAACCACAATTACGGCGGTCGCAAAGGTGACGGTGTTCGGAGAACGACGGTGGAATTCCCGCTTGCTCCTATATCGTTTTAGCGAACGAAGGAAATTTAATTAGTCGAAAACCTGGTTATCCTGGCCGCGCGCATTCGAACGTGTCGTTTGGAACGATGAGGCTGAAGGCATGACTGTCTTGAATAAGATAAACGACGTTGCAAAGATATAACGTTTAACGAATTCAGTAAAAGAACGAACAAATAAAAAAAAACACACAATCGTGAAAGTATATTGAACATACATATGATAGTCGACTATTAAGTACTGTTTAGTATTATCTGTGAGTAAACTGGCGGTTGACAGAATGTTTGGCGGTTAAACACGAGGCGAAACTGAGTCATCTTGAATCTTTGATAATATGCCTTATCCATATTTTTCCACCTATATTGTTCTTTGATATTTTTCAACCTAGTTTTTTCATTATTTTTTCCCTTTAAAGTAGAAGTATGTACATAATAAGAATTCAAAAGATGAACGTTTCAGTAACCATACAAATAATGTTAAATGAGTTAAGTACATACTCATGTAGAATAATGTTTAGATTCCTATGGGAATATTAAATATGTTTCAAAACACATATTCTTATGCAAAATATCTATATTTTTATTTCTTTAATCGAAAATACAGTAAACTAATACATATTTCGAACTTCATCTTTAAAGAAATACTAATTATCTATTTTTTAAATAAATAATGGAACAAATTGATAAGCAATAATTCTTTAAAGATAAACATCGAATTATTAATGTACCGTGTTCGATTAAAGAAACTCGATCATCATCATCATGGGAATTTTCGTTAACCGATTTTCTTCTCGATTCACGTCAGTCCTGACACCAGCACATGCCTAAGTGGATCTTTTGTTCCTTGATTGTATCTAAATGGGCGTTGACGGGTAAATCGTGTCCCATGTTGTAAGCTTTCATGGGGATCGAACTTATGGACTCACCGACAGAACGTTATTTGACATGTAATTTCCTGGAAACTCTGTATATCTACATATTTTAGTGCAATACGTAGAAAGTGTTCATTTAACACTAAAGCTACGAAACAGCTAAGGTGATTTTTATAAATTTTTCTATAGAAACCCTAAGAACGCACCTATTGAGATTTCGAGATAATTACAATGCAGTTTACGTATTTCTAAATCAACTTCTTTAGTAATTCTGCAGAGAAACATCTGTTATCTTTTTAATCCTCGTAAAATAAGAATTCCGCAATGAGTCATTTGAACCCATTCAGTAGTTTCGGTATTAAGAACATTTTTGTAATAATTTTTATATTTTTATATTTTTTGTAATAAACTATACACATGAAAAATGGTCTGTGGTATTATTACATAGAGTTTTCTAGAAAAGTGAAATGTTACTGGAGTGATTGAATGCTTTAATATTACGCAGATAATGCATTTTGTATGTAGCATCAGGGAGATTAGATTGCTCTCTCCTTACCTTCAACCTAATTTTGGGTTTACTTTCCCTAAATATTTATTTTTGAATGCAGTGCACATTTTTTCCTGATATTTCTGAAGAATTAATATCAATAATAAAAATACACTAATAAGTTACGAAAAATCTTAGAGATCCTCTGAGAAACCATATAAATAATAATATAGAGCAGTACTTTATTAACACTGCATTTACGGGACGCATCAATTTGTCGCGAATTCAGTTTTATAAACATTATTTGGTAAACGTTTATGTCAGTTGTCATTGATGCAATTGCACGAATATGCACCTTAATTGTCTATTTTTAAATCTCCAATTTCCAATATCCAAATGAAGGAACATCAGTTTTGTTAGGAACAATAGGATAAACTGTACAATAAACGTTCGTAAGTCTAGCATTAATAAAGCATTGGTCATTGTAAATGAATACCAGAGTTTAAAACTCAATTGTCATGCATATTTTATATGAATTACATTACTTTTATATTTTTACAAATGATTCTTTATTTAATATGAATTTAGTACACAATATCGGAATCTGTAGATATTCTTGAAAGAAAAACAATCAAGAAAAAATATTGCAACTGTTTTCAATTTAGATACGCGAGGAAAATATTTATTGGCAACGTGTGCACGATGTTTTGCTACCAGGTAGC